TAATTCCATCTTTAAATTCTCAATCTCTTATTAATAAAATCCCTATGTTAGTTCATTCTTATTAACAAGGAAGAAATGAAAGACATAAAAAAACCCACAAAAGGAATGTAGCAACTACATAATGTTATGTAATCTAAGGTCCTGAGAGTGAAATACATGAATAGAATAATAAACACTACCAACATGATGTCTAATAAAATAAAATAATAATAAACACCATTAAAGGTCAATGTAACTGAACTAGTATCTTCATTGTATTATAAGAAAGTAATGAGAAACACCTTCATTCTCAAAAAGAAGTCAATAGAAAATCAGCAAACAGCTATTGCAGATATCCTTTATCCGCAAGATTCCGAATCAACTTGCAAGCATTCTAGAATTACACACAAAAGGCTTTTTAAAAGAATACAAACTACTTGGAGCAAAGAGCAAAAGCAACCAGCTCTGTTATTTTTTTTCTCTTCATACCATGTTGGTGAAATAATGAAAGAAGTACAGGGAAAAACCGCCATTCTTTTTTTCAGACATAAAATTGCACACAATTTAGATTTATAGCAGCAAATGGCCTCAAACTAAATTGAGTGCTGTATGAATGAAGGAGAAAAGGGGGTATTTGAAACTCAAGTTAAAGGTGACAGTCATTTCTCTCCCTAGACATAATCACAACAAAGCACCTTATTATTAGAAACGTTAGGAGTGTTTTGAGAAAATATTTCAAATTGTGGTAGAGATAATTGATAGTGTAGTTAAAATATACAATTATCTAACTTCAAAAAGATAGATTCCAGACACTGATATTGGACCTAAAGCACATTTGTATGTATAACATAGGATCGTGATAGAAAAATAAATATATGATTACCTACGTAGTGTACATAACCTATAACATAGTGTTAAACATATAATTGCTCTAATTTACAATGGTAAATCTCTTGTTATCAGTTAATTTTCACTACACAAGTATCTGATTACCTTTTTACATAGCAATATTTACACAGTAATTAAATTGTAACTAATTAACATGTAATTCCACATACTTCTTTGTACCATGCAAAGTAAATTATTTATTTAAATATAGATAAAATGCTTGCAACTAAAAAAATACTTTTCTATTGCAGATAATTACAGATAAGACTAGACTTTATTCCAGATGATTTGTTAATAATTTTTGGAGTTGTCTACATGGAAGGATTTTGTTTCTTCAAATATCTGAAATTGGTAGAAGACTAAGCAATCTCCAAATATTTAATTTTTGACATGTAACCTCCATTCTATGCAGGGTGGATAAAAATTGATGATTAAAAAAAATCAGTTCTTTAAATTTAAAATAGGATTTTTTTTTTATTTTTATCAAATTTATTTTAATAAAATGCTTTTGGAGTAAAATCTATCTAAAGATACTTTTCTATTTAAGATACATAAATAATTTATTTAGCATGAAGTGGAACTTAGTTATGTAGTATGAGGCTGTATATTCTGCAATATTGGGACTGTCGGTGAGTCAGCAGTGGGTCAGAGGAGGAGCCGTTGCGGGACAGAAATGACAGTTGCTCTTTAAAAATCATGATTTAAATCAGCTTCAAATATATTCTTAATGAGTGTTTCCTATAGAATTCTCACAATAAATTAGTACAATAGTAGCCTTAATGACTAGCATAAACTATAACCAAAATAATATATTTCCTATGGATGTGTTCTGTGGATGTAAACAAAGACAATAAGAGAACAGTATTTTTTCTGGCGCTGTAATGTAGAATCAAAATTCTATTTTTATTATATACTCTTGTTTTTTTTTGACATTGTAAAATCTTACTGCCTTTATTAGTACAGGTAGTCCTCGCTTACTGGTCACTGGTTCAGTAACCATACATAATTGCAAAGATGCTGAACATCTTTACGTCCTCAAAGTTCTAAGCACTGAACCCCACCCCACCCCAATGATAATGTGATTGTAGTTCAAATGCTTGGCAACTGGCTTGCACTTATGACAGTTCCATTCAATCATCTGATTGCCTTTTGTGACTTTTCCTGCCAGCTTTCTACAAGCAAATTCAGTAGAAAAATCAGCAGGGAAGGTTGCAGGTTTCTCTGGTAAGTCCTTTCCCAGCCTCCCTGCACTCAAGTGGCACTCTGGCTTCCTTTCCCTGGTCCCTTTGCATTTTGCCAAACTGTGGCATCACTGTACTTGCTCTGTGCCACAGCTGCCTTCTCCCTGGCCAAATTGATACCAAGCTCCCTCAAGCGCTGCACCTGGTTAAACTAGGATAAGAATTGAAATTTGATGTATAAAAAAGAGCCATCTAAATTTGTCATGCTTTTTTTATGCCTTTGTCATTTCCAATGCTTCTTCTTGCCTTGTTAGTAAAGGATTATTTTTGTTTAGATCAGAATTAATGTGTGCTTTCACTGAAATACTCCTGCATATGCTGTATCAGTTTTGTTGCTCATTAATTGACATTTCCAAGACCCTGGCACTTAGTGATACACGTGGAAGTAAGAAGCATTTCCACGTGTCTACTTAATCCTTTTTATAGCAAATAGCTCTGGCATTTATATGCTTTTTGTTTCTCCGAATAGACAGCCAGGGCTTTGATTTTCTAAAAAGATCCAATTGTTTTTACAATCCCCAGCTTATATGTACTTTTCTGAAAAAAGCTTTAAATTAAGTAAGCAGTGTTTCAGGTACATTTAGAAGTCAGGCAGCAGTCAGAGCAAGTGATTCAACACAAGGGTTGTCATTTTTAAAAATGCTACTTGAAGATGGCCATTTAGGTTGTAATCTCTACAATTTGGGGAAGTAGCCCTAGATAATTGAGAACATTTACTATGATGTCATGATGTTACTACGATTAAATAATTGTTTGAAGGTGATTTATTTAGTGATTATTTAGATCTCTCTAAAGGTAGATAGGAAAAATCAGCCTTTCATAAATCTGAAATATGATACAAAGAAAATTTACACGGTTTTTAACAGAAAATAAATTCAAACAAGAATGAATCAATGAATCAGCACCATAATCATAATTTAAATATAAGCTGTGTATAAATTTATATCCAAAAGGTAATCAAATTTCTAGAATATCATGGGATGAACTATATTTTTTCAGTGGTTACTTCTTTTCATATAAGGTACCTTATACTAATATTAAAGATGTCCAACATCTGTATGTCCAACATTAAATGTATTGATATGTTCCAAGTCTCATCAAAGGCTGCTTCCATCATGCAAATAGACTATGTCCAAGAGATGTTAATGAAGGAATGACTGATGTGAAGCAAGTTTTGCCTTATGTAGAAATATTGTTTTGAAATTAAAGTGGAACTACAATTGATAAGCCAAGAGAATGACCTGGATAATAGTTTACTATTGAATTTTCAAAAAAGTTTGCTAAAGGCCCGAAGAAGTCTTTGGAATATATTATTATTATTATTATTATTATTATTATTATTATTATTATTATTAATTATTATTATTTTATTATTATTATTATTATTATTATTATTATTATTATTATTATTATTCTTCAAACTTCTATACCGCCCTTCTCCTTTCGGACTCAGGGCGGTGAACAGCCAAAATAAAAACATTTATACATAACATTGCAATTAAAAATAGATTTAAAATAATTAATAAATTTGGCCCATAATTTAAAACTTGTCAATTTAAAATCAGTATCAAAATTTTAAAACCAACCCTAAAATCATATGATATTCATATGATATATGAAGGAATTAAATATCAAGATTGTCAATTATATGACAACATCTGAATGAATTAAATATCAAGAATATCAAAAGTAAAAGGAAGGAATATAAAGTTAGTTTATTTGACCAAAGTTTAAATAAGACATATTTTGTCAGCATCAGCTTTCCTGCTTTAGCTGCCATAAGAAACGGGGAGGGATTAGGTATGGAGCAGAGGGGGGGAAGAGAGCAGGAGGGGGTTTGTCTTTGTAGGAGGGTACTTCGGGGAAATCGAAACTACATTTCAGAAGGGGATGGCCGACCAACTGTCCTGACATTCCTGATGGATGACGCTGCCAGACGTGTTGCCACCTGACCTTTGGAAGACCTTTAGATTGGCTGAGAAACTATAAACACGAGGGGGGGAAGAAGCTTAGCAGATGCATTTCGCGCGTTTTGATCACTTCCAGCTTTTCACTGGGATGTTAATCTTTTCATATTCAGTAAAAGTACCAAATTCTTCAAAATGCTTGAGTTTGGGGTTTTCTTTCCTGGATACTGAAGGAAGCATACCTGACATTAAGCTGGAAGACCTCTCAGTCATCCCGGACAAAACCCGAGGGGACTGAAAATCCAAAGTATGTCAGATCGTGGGAGTGATGACGAAGGGAAGATGGGGGCAGCAAGTTCAACCGCCCTCCAGTCGGAAAGAGAAACTGCAGAATGGCTGGAAAAACTCCGTTTGGAACCGGAGGAAGCTAGATGGTCCAAGGGTGTGGGCAGACTGCCGGACTGGGGAGAGAATCCCCGGGGAGTGACGACTTCCAGACCCCGGAAAAGGGAGGCAGTGTGGATGCAACAGCAGAAGGAACGTCTCATGATAGATCAAGCCTTGCAGCTTATCCGTGATGTGGAAGAAAGCAGAAAAAACCGTGAGTCTTTTGAAACTCCTGTGGAAAAGGGGGAAGCAGACCCCAGGGGGGAGGCAGAAGAGACAGCCTGCGGGGAGAGGAAGAGTTTGAGGAGGGAACATCCCAGGCTTCGGCAGCTCGAGGAAGAGATGCAGCCGGCCAGAGAACCCCAGCCCTGCAGGCCCCCCCCCGCAGACGTAAAAAGCCAAAAATCCCCCCCCTTCCTGGAAAGTTTGATGGAAATCCTAAAACCTTGGGATTTTTCCTGACCCAAGTGTGGAACCACATGCAAGATTGGGGGAGGACTACGAAACAGAGGCGGCTAAAGTCAGAAGCGTTGCGAATGCCCTAGAGGGAGTGGCGGCTGAGTGGATGGTAGTTCTCCACAATAACAACTCCCTCCTCCTGCTGAGAAATTACAACCAGTTCATGAGGGCCCTTAGAAGACGTTTTGAAGATCATTTAGCTGAACGAAAGGCGAGACTCAGAATGAAGAGCATTCAGCAGGGCCGGAGGCCGGTGGCAGAGTATATCCAAGAGTTTCGTGAACTGGCACCTTATATGACAGGCTGGTCAGAAATGGCGCTTTTGGAGAGTTTCAAGGATGGATTGAATGATGAGATATATCGAGATTGCAGGAGCATGGGGGTCCCCGATGATTTGGATAGATGGTACATAGTAGCTGAGGATGTGGAGATCGAGCTGAAACGGAGTGAACTCCGAGAAAGGCGGATGGGGGACCAGTCATCCTCTCTCTACTACCGTAAGGGGGGGCCAAGATGACTGGCGGGAAGACCGAATTCAAACCCAAGTCAAAGCCCTTCACCTGTTTCAAATGTGGGAAGGAGGGTCACCGGGCGGCCGAATGTCTCTCCAAACCACCGCCAAAAGCCACCGGGGCCAGCCAAAAGAAAAGCGATAAAATACCCGCCAAAACCCGCGGCACCGCCCTGAAAGGAGAAGTCGTTGAGTTCACTCCCCGGAACCAGCGTGAGTTGGGAACTCCGACCAACGATGACGACAGCGAGACAGACTCCGACTCGGACACCGATGAACGGGTGAGTCACACGGAAGAACCCTTACTCATCCCCGTAGAAGTAAGGGTGCCCTCCACAGGAACTCACGCGCAATTGTTAGCCCTGTTGGACTCGGGGTGCACTAGGTGCATAATTAGCCCCAAAGTAGTGGAGGAAATGGGACTGAGACTGAAAACGTTAAAAAGACCCATTGCATTTTGTCAATTAGATGGATCGATTGCAGGGGGGGGCCCAGCTAGTTTTATGACCGAACCCCTCGAACTACACTTGGGGAATCACATAGAAAAGCTCAGCTTTATTGTAGCCCCTGGCATGGAAAGGCCCCTAATTCTAGGACTGCCCTGGCTTCGAAAATGGAACCCACGAGTAAATTGGAAAACGGGGGTCCTGCGCATCCGTACGGCAGAACCACCTCCCGAAAAGGAAGGCCCCTCCCTAAGGGACGACATAAGACCAGAAGGGGCCGCAGTAGCCATTAACTATATTGAGGGAGAAGAGAAAATTCCGAAGGAATATTGGGACCTCAAGGAAGTGTTTAGTGAAAAAGCTTCTGATAATCTGCCTCCCCACAGGGCCACTGACTGCACCATTGAAATACTCCCAGGGGTGAAGCTTCCCAAACCAAAAATATACCCCATGACACCTCGAGAATTGGAGGAATTGCGAAATTTTATTGACAAAAACTTAGAACGGGGATTTATCGAACGAGCCAAACCCAAGGTAGCAGCGCCAGTAATGTTCCGCGAAAAGAAAGATGGATCCTTCAGATTAGTTGTTGATTATAGAAACATGAACGCCATTTGCGTGGAAAATGTCTATCCCCTCCCACTTATGAAGGACATGTTGGCCCATTTAGGAAAGGGAAAAATTTTTACCAAACTTGATTTAAGAGAGGCATACTACCGAGTAAGAATAAAAGAGGGAGATGAATGGAAGACAGCATTTAATTGCCCACTGGGGTGTTTCCAATTTAGAGTACTCCCTTTTGGACTACAGGGGGCCCCGGCCGTATTCATGCAGTTGATCAACGAAGTGTTGCATGAGCATCTATATAAGGGGTGTTGGTCTATTTGGACGATATTCTAATTTATTCTGACAACATGGCCGACCATATAAGATTGGTTCGAGCGGTCTTGAATAAACTCAGAGCAGCTGAACTCTATGCCAAACTTTCTAAATGTGAATTCCATCAAGACAAAATCGACTATCTTGGATATCGTATATCGCATGAGGGAATAGAGATGGACCCGGAAAAGGTCCGGGCAGTAATGGAATGGGCCGCACCGCGCACCCGTAAACAGTTACAGAGTTTCTTAGGGTTTGCTAACTTTTATAGACAATTTATCCCCTCTTTCGCAAAAATCGCACTGCCAATTACAAACTTGCTCAAAACAAAAGGGGAAATAAAACCCAAACCCTCGAAACCACTAGAATGGACTATGGACTGTCAGGCCGCTTTCGAAAAACTGAAAAGGCTGTTTGCAGCTGAACCTGTGCTCAAACACCCCGACATAGAACAACCTTTTGTAATACAAGCGGATGCTAGCGACGTTGCCGTAGGAGCGATACTCTTGCAAAAGAATGAGAATGGAATATTACAACCCTGTGCTTACACATCCCGTAAACTATCTGAAACAGAAAGGAGATGGGCCATATGGGAGAAGGAAGCGTTTGCAGTTAGATGGGCGCTGTTAACATGGAGACAATTTTTGGAGGGGGCAAAACATCCTTTCGAGGTGTGGACTGACCATAAGAATCTAGAAGCATTAAAAACACCACGCAAATTGTCACCCAAACAGGCACGCTGGGCCCAACATTTCAAGCGTTTCAATTTCACTTTACGTTACCTTCCTGGGGAAAAAATTTCATGGCAGACGCACTTTCCAGATTGCCACAGTACAACAGCATAAAGAAGGAACTGGTTCAACCAATGATCCCCTTAACGCAATTGGCAACACCCGTCACTACCAGAGCGCAGAGTAAAACCGATCCAGAACTCTCAGGGGATTTACTCGAAAAGTTACGAGAAGCACTAAAAGTTGACGAGTGGTTTAAACTCCACTCGAATGAATGCACACTTCGCGATGGACTAGCTTGGGTTGGATCGAAATTGTATGTTCCGTCCACATTAAGACCAACCGTATTGAAATATGCGCATGATGCCAAAGCCGCAGGACACTTTGCGTTTGTCAAAACTTTACATCTTGTTAAGAGACAGTTTTGGTGGCCTGCACTAAAAAAGGACATACAGACATATGTGGCTAGTTGTCCAGTATGTGCCTCGGCTAAAAGACCTCCAGGAAAATCCCCTGGATTACTGCAAAGTGTGGCTAGACCGAACGCCCCATGGAAGGAAATATCTATGGATTTTGTGGTGGACTTACCCGACAGTGAGGGCTGCACTGTCATTTGGGTAGTAACTGATTTGTTTTCTAAACAAGTACATTTCATACCTTGCTCAAGGATCCCTTCAGCAAAAACCCTCGCAAAGTTGTTTATTCGGCAGATTTACCGACTACATGGGTCTCCTAAAAGAATAATTTCTGATAGGGGTGTGCAATTTACTTCCAGTTTCTGGAGAGAATTTTTAAGATTGATAGGCTCCGCACAGGGGTTGAGTTCCAGTCACCACCCTCAGACAAATGGTGCTTGTGAAAGAACCAATGGGGTACTCGAACAATACCTTAGATGTTACGTGAATTACCAACAGGACAATTGGGTAGACTTGTTGCCATTTGCAGAAGTGGCGTATAACAATTCTGTGCATAGTAGCACCGGATTCACCCCTTTTAAGGTTGCATCAGGCCAGGATTTTGTACCCATTCCCGAGTTACCTCAAGAGGATCCTCAAAATCCCTCTTTGATAGACTGGATAGAACAATTAAGGAGCACCTGGACAGTGACTCGTAAGGCATTAGATGAGGCACACCGAGCTCATAAGGCACAAGCCGATAAGAAAAGGTCCCCAACTCACATTTACAAAGTGGGGGATAAAGTTTATTTGTCTACCAAATACTTACAAACCACCCAGAGGTCTAAAAAGCTGGGGCCTAAGTATGTAGGACCATTCCGTGTGATCAGACTGATAAATCCAGTGACAGTTGAATTAGAATTACCAAAAACTTTGAGACGAATACATCCTGTATTTCATGTTAGTTTATTGAAACCTGAACACTCATCTCCCCTAAGGGTTGATCATAGCAACCCTCCAATTCCCATCCTAGTAGAAGGGGAGCAACATTTTGAGGTTAAGGAAATCTTGGACTCTAGAAAACACCATGGTAAAATCCAATATCTGATTGCCTGGAAACATTTTCCACTATCTCAGGCTGAATGGGTAAATAAACGGGATGTCCGAGCTCCCAAGAAAGTTCAACAGTTCTATGCCAAATACCCTGATAAACCTTGATCATTGTATATATTCTGTTTCTCTTTCTCTTTTTCCTTTTAATTAGGACTAACGTCTCTTCTGCAAGAGGGGCCGAATGTCAGCATCAGCTTTCCTGCTTTAGCTGCCATAAGAAACGGGGAGGGATTAGGTATGGAGCAGAGGGGGGGAAGAGAGCAGGAGGGGTTTGTCTTTGTAGGAGGGTACTTCGGGGGAAATCGAAACTACATTTCAGAAGGGGATGGCCGACCAACTGTCCTGACATTCCTGATGGATGACGCTGCCAGACGTGTTGCCACCTGACCTTTGGAAGACCTTTAGATTGGCTGAGAAACTATAAACACGAGGGGGGGAAGAAGCTTAGCAGATGCATTTCGCGCGTTTTGATCACTTCCAGCTTTTCACTGGGATGTTAATCTTTTCATATTCAGTAAAAGTACCAAATTCTTCAAAATGCTTGAGTTTGGGGTTTTCTTTCCTGGATACTGAAGGAAGCATACCTGACATATTTATATAAAGCTCTGGTAACCCTTTACAGACTTTTTCCTGACATCAGAACTCAAAAGTTGATCATTTATTGATTTGCCATATGTTAAGTGACAGGTTATAAGAAGAAAGAATATTTGTTTGTAATTTTATAGGGATAAATAATTATTAAGTTTGTGATGAATATCACGTTGCTTCTTATAGGTTTCTTTGTCTTTATCTTACTTTTTCCTTTTTTATTCTTTTCTTTTTGTTTCCTTGCACTTTTTATTATTTCTCTTTTTCTCTCTCTGAGCATTGTTTATATTTGCTTTTACTATTGTAATAAAAATCTGCAATAAAATTATTTTCTTAAAAAAGGGATTCATTCATTATATTATTTTATATTATAAAATTATAATATAATTATATTAATTGATTCTTTTTATTAGTTTTATTGTTTTAATGAGATTTTATATTCTGTAAGCTGCCTTGAGTCGCCATGGGTGAATAGGCGGCAATATAAATTCAATAAATACTTTAAAAAAATAATGCTTATTTTAGTGATTTATCCTATTATGATATATTTCATGCATAAATATTTATAGGAAGTTTAAAAGGGAATGAAATTCATACTTTTATTAAAAATGGGTGCAGGATTTTTAATACAGTTTAAAACAGTACTTTTATAGTTTGAGTTTATTAATATGTATTTGTTTTTTCAATAGAACAGTGAAGTCAAACTATTAAACGTATTGAGATTTATAAACACATAATGCAATTAAGGGGGTAGTGTCAACAGAAATAAATGATCACAAAGAAATACAAATAATATTATTTACTATTATATTTATATATAAAACTACAGCAAGTATAAGTGGGAATTGCAAGCCAGCGTTTTGCCACAGCAGGATACGACAGTTACGTCAACAAGCAACAGTTGCATGGCTTCAAGGTTAAGAAGAACAGGGTAAAATATCTGTTAAGCCATTGTTAAGCTATCTGTTGAGACAGAAAGAGTTGCTAGATTTAAACTGGATATAAAAAGACAATTTCAGGTACCTGTTAACCAAATGCAAATAACTCTTTTAGTGGCTTCTTCCTTTATTCATCTTTAATAAAGATTCTTACCTAGATGTGCCATATTGTGTGTCTGAAGTGTTAAGGCTGTATTGAGTGAGTTGAGTAAACTCTACTGAAGTTTTCCAGTGATCTGGTAGTACAAGAGTGATACAAAAATAATAAAGGTGATTAAATTAAAAAATGTAGTTGAAGATTTATTGTCTTTATATATAAGGTGGAATATTGAAATATATTTTGAAGTGAAGGGATTTGGCATGGAGAAAGGGAGGAACTAGAGATAAACTACATTTAAAAGAGACTATAAAAAACAAAGAAGGAAACACAATACATCCTTTCCATAGCCAATACTCAGATAAACCTGAATTAACCCCAGACAAATAATCAAGCAGAAAACAATACCTAAATCAAGGAACTACCAAGGAGAAAATCACACCCTCACCAATACTGGCAGGGCTGTGCTGTACTACTGTGGGTAATCAGGGTACAAACCAGGGGTGGGTTCCACTTATCTTTACTACCGGTTTGCAATGGGAGCATGTGTTCTGGGTTCTGGGTTCTGTGTTCTGCACATGCGCTGAAGAAGCTTCTGTGCATGCGCAGATCATCCATGATGAAGTCTGGGCAGGTGGGCGGAGCCTCCCGACGCCATTATTAGTGGTTCGCAAGAACCGGACTGAACTGGGAGCAACCCACCACTGGAGCAAACCCACACTTACTAGCACTCACACTATTATCTAGTTTGGTAATGAAACCAATTCAGAAAGCACCAAGGACTCCATAGTTCAGTCCTGAGCTACATATATTCTAAATGGAGGAATAAAAAGTGTAATATAGTGAATGAATGAATATTAAAATCAGTTATTCACCAGAAAGTATCATCATAAAAAGAAATGTTGGTTGCATATTTATGTATATGCAACAGTATCTCCAGCTTCTCCCTTCTCTCTTAATCTTGCCAGTATAGTTATGTCATCTTGTTGACCAGATGACCATACTGATGCACCTAACAGTCTTTCTTTCTGAGCTAACTGAGATTTCAGCATTATATTGATTATCTTAGCCTGCTTATCTTGCAGGATTTCAATGCCCATTTGGTGTAGTGCTTGTATGGGAATTCCATTCCATTTCCATTTCAATAGCCTCAAACAGTGCAAGGGTTAAAGGAATATCAATTGATTCCTAATGGATTAAGTTCACAGGAATCCAGGATAATCAAAGGCTGAGGAGCCAATCAAAAAGCTAGGTTTCCATTCTCAAAGAGAATTTTATAAGAGGAGGCAGCAGTGTCCATTTTGTCTTGTGAAAGGTTTTGTTTTTTAACACTTGGCTGAAAACAAGGTGATGTCGAAGTTTTTAACCAATAGCAGCCAAGCTGAAATCTAATGAATTTAATCAGCAAGCTAGATCAGTGAAGCTAGTTGTAATACTGTTATAGGTTCTGATTAATTTTTATGGACTCAGGTTTGGAGTGAGTTCAAGTGTGTGTTTGATGCAAGATCTTGGGCTTAGGGAGTAGCTGACAGAGACCAGCCTCTTCAGAAAACAATCGTTCATTCCGCTCCCTCCTACCCCTCTCCCTCCTTTCCTCCTCTTCTTGTTCTCTGACCTTGCCATGTACAATAAAGATTTCATTAAGATAGAATTATTAATGACCCAGTGATAATCAGTCATAGCTACAATAAAAAATTATGGGCTTGTCCCAAATGATCACACATTCTTGCCCATACTGGAAGTCACAGAATTAATAGGCCTAATTTTGTCTTGATGTATTTAAAACAAGTTTGGGCATTTTCATCAGTTCTTTGTTATTATCAGTTTGCTCTTTGGTTTTCTAGCTCAAAGCTTCCTTTAGTTGAATCCACCCAGCCTCTCCAATGCAAGATCCTGTCTGTCTTTCTCCTCTGATTTGGAGCTAGCCATAACACATATAGCAGTGGTGGTGAACCTTTTACTCACTGAGTGGCCGAACGGGTACGTACTTTGTGTGCTTTGTGTGCGTGTGCGGGCCATCTGTGCTAACACGTGGCTCCTCCCCATGCACTGTGCATGCAACCGCACCATCTGCACATGCATACAGCTTTTGTGTGCGTCCCCATCATGAGCTGCATGCACAACTGCGCCATCTGTGCATGCACACAGCTTTTGTGTGTGTGCCCACCATGCGCTGCATGCGCAACCACACCACGTGTGCAGGCGCACAACTTTTGTGTGCGCCCCCACTATGTGCTGCGTGCACAATCGCACAATCTACACATTGACATGGTTTTCATGCGCACAAGGCATGCGTGCAAATGCTATCTATGCATGCACACGCCGCATACCAGTACTCTCACACACATGCGCAAATGCACACATGCACAGGAGAGCTTCGAAGACCAGCTGGGTCACCTGAATTGCGCGAATGCGCACCAGAGGCCTGAACACCAACTAGGATGCACACTCATGCGCAGCTGCAGGTGAGTTGGGTGACAGCTCGTGTGCCCGGAAAAATTGCTCTGCATGCCACTTCCAGCACGCGTGCCATAGGTTCAACATCACGGACATATAGCTTGCAGATAGCCAACTAACAGCATTGTTCAGTTTCCTCATCTCAACCTAGCTAATTTAAATGTTGGATAGTCTCCAGGTTTCTTTATATAGGAATGGGTGACAATAGGATTACATTGAACTCCAACAAGTGTAGAGTGTCAAGTACCCCTCGACACTGTGTCAGCGCATCAGCGTGGGAGACTATGAAGGGGGGGAATAACGTCGGATGATCCAGAACGGACTCCAGCAACAGAGCACGGTGGAGGGGTGTGTGTGTTGCGACTAGGACTACATGCATGGTGATAATGGGTGACAGATGGGACACAAGAAGGGGGGAAAGTCGGGGGTTTATGGATCGGATGATAGTCGGAGCTGAGAATGACGTCAGAAATCAGCGCCCGAAGACAGACGACCCAAGCGGCAGATTCGATTCTAGCAGCTGTGGCAGCTCCATTCTCTCATGCGTGTGTGGTACATCGCCCGACAAAGCACTGGCAGCTCCAGGGGGGCTGAGAACAAGACTGAGTTACTGTTTGTCCATTAGAATTCTCAATCCGTTGTGATGTCTTTGGCAAGGTGGCACTACCCCTGTTGGGCAGATCCATTATTTGGGATCCTCTTGGACTCACGGCTATTGTTAGGATAGCAGATTGGAGGCTACAGCCAGGTGACTTTTACCTACCTTCAAGTACTGCAGTAGTTGTAAGCTTGCTACAGTGAGTTCATTCCCTTGTATGACTCATTCCCTTGTACCACCCATTTGGGCTAATGCAATGTGGTTTACATGGTCCTTCCTTTGAAGACTACTGGGAAGCTTGAGTTATGTGCAGTGACCGTACAGAGGTTAGCATTTGCTGGTATGAAAACCTTACACTAATGCTGCGAGCCCTGACCAGTTGCCAACTCAGGGCCTACTCAGGGTGCCGTTGTCTAGACAATGTTGGCTGGCGACCCCC